CTACACAGAGGGCCCTTTCAGGCACATAGAGGGCCCTCTCAAACACACAAAGGGTCCTCTCAGGTACACAGGAGGCCCTCTCAGGCACACAAAGGCCCTCTGAGACACACAAAGGGCCCTCTCAGACACACAGAGGGCCCTCTCAGGTACACATATGGTCCTCTGAGACACACAGAGGGCCCTCTCAGCCACACGGAGGACCCTCTCAGGTACACATAGGGCCCCCTCAAGCACACAGAGGGCCCTCTCAGGCAAACTACACAGAGGGCCCTTTCAGGCACACAGTGGGCCCTCTCAAACACCAAGTGGGCCCTCTCAGGTACTCAGGGGGCCCTCCCAGGCACACAAAGGGTCCGCTAAGACCAGCAGAGGGCCTGGTAAGACGAACAGAAGGGCCTCTGAGGTACGAGGGTCAATTTCAGGCCACAAGGTACCCTATGAGGCCACCAGACGGCCCTCTTAGATCAAAGATGGTCCCTGGAGGTCACCAGAGGGCCCTCTGAGGTGAACAAAGGGCCCTCACAGCCACCTCAAAGAGGGCCCTCTGAGATCGAAGAGGTCAAAGAGATCAAAGAGGGCCCTCTAAGGCGAATGGAGGGCCTTCAAAGGCCACAAAGTGCCCTCTCAGGCCACTGGAGAGCCTTCTGAGGTGATATGATGCTATGTCAGACCACCATGAGCCCTATGAGGTCATCAGGCCCTCTGAGATCAAAGAGGGTCCTTGGAAGTCATCGGAGGACCCCTTGAGGCCCCTTGAGGCGAACAAAGGCCAGAGGGCCCCCTTAGACACCACAAAGAAGTAAAAAAGATCCCTCTGAGTTCAAAGACAGCTCTCTGAGATGTAATAGGGCCATTTGAGGCCTCTGAGGGCCCTCTGATGCCACAGAGAGGCGCCCGCTGATACCAAAATAGGGTCCTCTGAAGTCTGAAGCCACCAGAGGGCCCTCTGAGGCGAATAGCGGGTCCTCACATCCACTTCAAAGAGGGCCCTCTGAAAATCAACTGGCCCTCGGAGTCAGTGTCCCAAAATTGTATTTTGGCTTGGGTGTCAGAGGGGGAAATAGGTCACCCAAAAGGGGGATAAGAGTGGACAATTGTCAGTCACAGGGCAGCCGGAGCCCTCTGAGAAGGTCACTTGAGCCTTACACCAGAGGGCCCTCTGAGGTGATATGAAGGCTATGTCAGGCCACTATGGGCTCTATGAGGTCAGCAGGCACTCTGAGGTAAAGACTGGCCCTCTGAGGGGAACAGAGGGCCCTTTAGGACAATCAGAGGACTTTTTAGGCCAACTAGGGGCCTTAAGAGGTCAACAAAGGGCCCTTTGGGACACAAACAGGGCCTCTCAGGCCACCAGGGGCCTCATGTATTAGACAAACATACGGCCATCTGAAGTAAAAGAGGACCTTTTGAGGTAAACAAGGGCCCCTGGAGAGAAAACAAAGGGCCCTTTCAGGTACCCAGAAGGTCCATGGAGGCCACTAGAGTGCCCTTTGAGGCCAGTGATGGTCTGCAGAGGCCATCAGAGGGTCCCTCTGAGGGTAACAGAGGGTCCTTAAGACGACCAGAGGCCCCCTTGAAAATGCAGGTGTCACAAGGCCCGGTTTGCATCAAAGGTCAGGTAGGTATGCCCAGTTTTGGCTCTCTGTTGCCGACGTGTTCCGAGCTGTCGCAAAAAAAAAAAACGATGTGGTGGCACCCACCCTCCCACTCGGCCGGCCAGGGTCCTTCTAACCAGGGATGCGGAGCCGTGGAAATTTCAGACGTCTCCGGCTCCAGCTCTGGAGAAAAAAATCTGATTCGGCTGCGGCTCCGGCTCCGAGTAAAATGGTTCGGCTCCGGCTGCTCCGGCTCCAATACTCAGTACATCCTCTATACAATTAAATACGGGTGGAAGAGAAAAGATGAAGGATTGGTTCACGTTGCTTCTGTATTTGCATAACAAGGCTATTTTGAATACCACATGTTTTACTGCCTTGTACTGTCAAACCGAACTATGCAGGTCAATAATTTTTTCCTCTTCAAAAAAGCAGCCGGAGTCGCCGCCTTTTTGGACGGCTCCGGCTCCAGCTCCGGCTCCACACCCCTGCTTCTAACTCGGCTTCTGAGCCACGTACCAGCACGCCAAAGGCAGCGTTCGAAAGGACGCAAACAATAATGACGAAATTACTCTGGTCACTTTTTAGATCAGGTCAAAGGTCAGTTCACATAGGTCATCCAAGGCTAAATTTCGCCAATTTTCTGGTCCAATTTCGACAATTTTCAACAAGCCACCGCATCACTCGGAAATGAATGCCGTGCCGGGGAAAAGCGTACTTAATAGCTCTTTTAACCCGCGCCGGGCCGGTGCAGTGCTCTGAGATTCCGCGACGGGCCGGAAGGGGGGTGTGTCTGAACACCCCCCCCCCATTCTAACTCGGCTCCTGGGCCACGTAGCGACACGCGAAAAGCGGCAATCGAAAGAACGTCCAAAATGAGGACGAAAACACTAAGGTCATTTTTTGGGTCAGGTCAAAGGTCAGGTCACCAGGGGTCACCAAAGGTAAAATGTTGACTATTTCAACATTTTGAAAACTGCCAACGACTATCTCGGGAACCGATAGAGCTACAGCGCCAGAGAAAATGGCATTCAACAGCCCTTTTACAGACTTTTCTGATAAATGTTCTCAGATTTGACCTCAGGTCAACGGTTTAGCCTCCAGAGGGCAAAAACTCCAAAAATAGCCGTTTTTACGAACAGCGTTTTTTCGGCAAAGCGTTTTTCGAAAAACTTTTGACTCAAAAGAGTCATGACATTAATTTTGCCAGCATCGTGTTCCTCTCGTAGAGACGCGTCGAATGAACTATAATTGGACCTTGAAAGGTCAACTTGAAAATTTGACCTCAGGTCAAGGTCATGACCTGACCGGAAAAAAGGTCATGTTGCATATCAGTCGATCCGCAACGTCGATTCGAACACATCTAAGGCGTTTTCAGCGCTCTAGCACGCCTCTATCAGAAGTTATTGGCGAAAAACTGTTAGATTCTGTTCGTGACCTGAGATGACCTCGGGGACATAACGAGGGGTTACAGTTGCCATTTTCCGATTCAGTGTGCCAATTTTACTTACATCTCGATGTTAGAGAGTGTCTAGAATAGCGTTCGTGCAAAACAGACGCTTTTCAATTTTCTCCCATTGACTGATAGGTAATGGAGAGGCCGCGATATTGACCTGACCTTAGGTCACCGATATCAAAATTCCGAGATAAACATTTTATAGATAATGTTGCTCTTATCAATCGCTGAAAGTTTCAAGGCAATCGATCAATCGGTGTAGCTATGACGAGCATTCTTATTTTTTCTGAGGTGAGGTCACTTGGCGTGACCTGGTGACCTGACCTAAGGCGACCTGGGTCTGAAATTTTCACAACATGTGCGAAAATAATGCACAAACAGGTGTGCCAAAAACGGCGGCGCCGTTTTTGAGATATTAGCGAAAAACCGCAGAGGGGTGTTCAAACACCCCCGGCCCGGCGCGGGCTAACACCCGTTTCGCCGTTTCCATCCTCAGGACATTCAAATCCTTCTCCTCCATGCCGCAACCCATGATCCAGGCTGGACCTGGACGGGCAACTTTATGCCATGCGGGCGGCTCCCATTGGAGCGCACTGCAGCTCCTAAGGAAGCACACTCGTAACCGGGTGCAGTGAGCACTTGGGGGGCTGGTCGGCCTGTCCTGTTGGACAGGCTCAGCCCCGGTGACTCACCAAGGTGCCCGCCCAGACCAATGTCTCCCTCAATTCCTATCATCCTTCCGGTCCTGAAATGGTCTGGTCAGACCGAAAGGGCATAGCCCAACAAAACAAACAAAACTCTTTTGACACTCTTTCTGTAATTTGTGCTCAGATTTGACCTAGGGTCAACGCTCCAGCCTGGGCCCAACCCAAGGCGGGGCTAAACTGTGCTCAGATTTGACATAGGCCTGTTAATTGTACACCTTTTATCTCGGAACATTTTTATGTTTCTACAGCTCTGTAGGGCTGACAGCTCTTCCTGCGAAACCTTTTTTGGGTCGAAAATGGCAGAACATGACGTCATTTGCGGCCAACCTATTATAGCCTCTGGAAAAAAATTGGTCACAATGTGTAAAATGGATGCCCGTAGAGGTCCTGAAAGTTTGGTGGGGATATCTGCAGTCATTTAGGAGATAGCTACAGAAGAGGACAGGGGGCCGTTTCGCCCCCCCCCCCAACGGGACGCGGGTTGAACGCCCTTTCAACTCAGGCTACAAGGGCCCTTTTGCCACTGAAGGGCCCTTTCAACCCAGTCAGTCAAGGGCCCTTTTGACTGCGGATCCCCCCTGAGAGAAATCCTAGATACGCCACTGTTCATGATACAAAAATAACATACAGTGTGATTTCCTCAAAACAGCTTTTACGTGATGGACAGTGGCTCTGTCTTTTTCCCATTCACAAGGCCAAAGGGACAATTTCTTAGCTTTGAGGTAACACTTTTTGCAAACCTACCACATTTTTCTACCTTTTAAAAGAAAAATCTCACCGTCATGGGCCTTTTTTCAACCGTAACGGTTCATTTGAAGTAAAAACCGTACCCAAATGAATCAAGAAATTGATTCCATGCCCATATTTGGTCATGGCTCCTCCCACCAGAATCAAATTATTGATGCCTCCATATTTTGATTCCAAAAGTCTAGTTTGCCCAACTGGGCTAGGCTGGAAATCTGCTCTAGCCCACACCAAATAAGACCCATAATTCTAATGAATAATGAAGGGGTAGCTTTGTTGTGATTTACTATCTATGACCAAAATATAAAGCATTAATCAATTTGAAATTAATGATCATGATAGAACGGTCAGTCCCGATTCGATCGCACTTTGCGTCACGCCTTATTGAAATGCTGTCACTGTGAGAGGAGGAAAAATATGAAAAATGATAACAATACATTGCTGAAATTAATTTTCATGCAACACAACACCAATTTGTACCCCACTAAAAACACTAACAAAGCAAACCAATCATCCGGACGTTCACAGAAACATTCCCCGCAGCTGACCATCAGTAAACAACACTGAGTTTCAATTATTGCGCAGCTGAGACGCAGCATAGAGATGCTAAATGACTGCAAGAATTTACAACTTACAAAGCTGGCATATTTGTAGCCACCACTGATTTTGACTAGACACAATCCTGTCAAATGTATTCATTCGACTAAGAATATTCTAATTATACTCGTCCTAATGCTGTAAGCATGGGTGGAGAACCTGCCCCGGCCACCCCGGCCGTGGCCGGGGTAACTCTCAGCGTACCCCGGCGCGGCCGGGGTAACTTTTCCACTCTTGTAAATCCTAAAAAGCTGTCTCAATACGAGAAAAGAAATCTCTCGCTCTTCGAATGTTGACTTCCATGAGCGTATTATTGCAAATCAGGTAGGTATTTATCATTTACTTAACTTGCCATAAGCTCCAACCCTAGGACCCGCGTGTGGTCGCCAATGCCAAGATTGCTCTCAAATCCTGTTCAGTTTCGAAAATTTGGCGCGCCTTCGGCGCACTTTTTCAAAACCAGTGCTTGACCTCACCACCTTCGACTGGCCTGCCACCAACCGCAACCATACCCGTTTATGAGCGTACCCGTCAGGGTGCTCATAAACACCGAGCGACGCGTCCGTCTGCTTCGAACTCGGACTGTTGTAACCGGAACGCGTATTCCGCGGAGTCCAACGCTCTATAGCGACTGAGCTGCGAGACCGGGACCGGTAAATATTCCTGGATTGACTCCCTGTTTGTCTTATAAGAGCCGCCCAACATTGAAAAAGGCTGCGTCCGTGGATGTCAGTGACCCATTTTAGTGTTTTGCTCTAATCTTTCAATTTTCTTTGTAAAGCTTCTACGAGGTGAGTTGTCTTTTTGTAACTATTTTGAGACACAAAAGAAAGCTGAAAACGCAATATTTACTCAAAATGGCATATTATATGGGGTATGGTGCGAAATTGCAGGTTTAAGTATACAAATCACTTAAAAGGAACTTGCCTTTTCAATCATTCCAAAAATGTTATGAATAAAATACGATGTCGAATACAACGCTCATCCTTGAACAATAACAAACACAACATCCATTGTTCAATTTCCATGGGTCAGAATCAGGGCTGCGGAGTCGGATTCGAAGTCGGTCGGAGTCGGCAGTTTTGCCCGGAGTCTGAGTCGGAGCTGGAGTCGCTGAAATCTTACCGACTCCGACTCCGGAGTTAGATTTAACACTGCATGGCTCAAAGTCATGCCTTGCACCTGGTTGCTTGACGATTTTTCTTTCGTTGACCTTTCAAAATCAGGTTTTGTTGAATGGAAGGACATACCCCTGTTTTGGACCAACGTTTTTATTGAAAAAGCTGAAGAAGGCTGCTGCGTCAAAACCTGTTTTTATTTTGCATGCTTTTTCAAAAGTACTCATTTGCAATACAAGGCCTTGGAGCGCGCAAAATTCCGTTTCAGCAAGATAAAAAACATCCAGCCTAAAATCTGATTTCATTAGGTATATGGATTCAACGAGCAATGCCTGGAGTCGGAGCTGGCGTCGGAGATGGAGTTGGAGTCGATTCGGAGTCACCTTAAAATCTATCGACTCCGCACTCCGCAGCCCTGTCAGAATAGCCCTGGTTGTTTATGACGATCGTTGACAACAACGTGAGCAATGAGCATATCGTCTTTCCGACTATCGGTCGCCGGCCGGGGTAACTTTTTCAAACATTCTCCACCCATGGCTGTAAGAGGTAAAAAAGCTGTTTTATATTTTCATCAAGGTACATAACATTAACAACACTATCTTTATTGTCTTATTTCCACCCAACTAAACTGACTAAATTGACCTGTCGTCTGCGCGGACATCTGGGCGGTGTTTCATGGGACGCTGCTACCACGCTGCTATCAAATTGCGCGAGCTGACGTCACACTTGTGGTAGTGTTGGAGCAATGGGCCTGTTGATGTTTCCATGGAAACCCAATTTGACACGTGTAAAAGCGGCGTGCTGCTATCACCGGTGAAACAGGGCCCTGTGCTGCCCCAACTTCGACTCATGCCAAATACAGAATAATGGCTGCTTCCAAATTCCATCTACTAGCTTATGAATGTGAAAAAACATTCGCATACCATCAATCAAATACTATAATGCTCTTTTTAAACCCATGAGCCAGTACTGGGGTCCGCAGGAACGGGACCTTTCAACTGATGAGGGCCTACTAACACAGAGCCTCAGCTGTGAGTCGGGAAAGACCAAGACGATGACATTCCGTGCCTCAGGTAGGATGGCCTTCTGGGCCAGAGCTACAAGTCCAGTCCAGAGCACAACTCGCAAATGCACTCTGCCGGGAGCATGGCCATTGGACTGCCCAAACGCGCGCGTTGTTAAGACTAGTTTATTTACATTTTACGCCGAAGTGGCTACAAGCGCCAGTGCACAGTTTGCGCCAGTCCGACCGACTCGCTGCAGGGCGGCCAGCACATGAGGGCGACCCGCCGGCGGCCGGCACGCACTTCAGAGCGGACTCCCCGCTCCGCTTGTTGCCAGTTGTACTTGCATTCGTTGCCGGGTCAAAGATCTACAAAAATAGCGCAGCCTATGCGGTTAGTTGCTGGCGAGGGGCACGAGACGAAGGCGGAACGGCAGGCGGCGCTGTCGGCGGCCGCGGAGGGCTCCGTCAGTCCGGTCACTGCTACCCCTCCCAGCGTCATACAGAGGCGGCGGCGGCAGCACGTCACACCGGCAGGACGGGGCCGGCGCGTAGGCATTAGACAGGCAGATACGGTGATTAGGTCGGTTAGATGCTGCTGTGACACGCAGTGGCCGGCTCTAGCTCGCGGGGTGACCCGGCTGCGCGGTGCACTCCCGGCGGCCCGGCGCCACTGGCGGCCTCTCGGCGGCCACGGCACCGCGCGAGTGTTCGCGAGGAAGCGACTGCGTGGCTCACCTAACCCTCAGTAAGCCGGTCGGGGTGACACCGGTCCCTTTGAGACTGTCGCTGTGCTTTGGAGAGCGTGGCACAGCTACACGATCAGACCCGGCAGAGTTCGTCCCTCAGTCCGTCTGACTAGCCCGTTAGCTACACTCCGGCACCACGGCTCCGCACAGTCACTGCGGCCTCTGCCGCCACGCTACAAGGCACTCGGTCGCGGCGCGGCGGTCGCGCCGCCACTCAGGGAAGCACAGTCTCACTCACACACACCTCATTCAACCAGCACGTAACACGAATTATATCAGTCACACGGCGTCAAAAAATCACACAGTTTCAGCACCACCGGTTCAGTCGCACCCCGCGTCAAATACCACCGCGTTCGGCTCTGCTCGAACGCGCGCACCAGTAATAGTATAGATTAAAATTTCAACAACGCACTGCGCGGCGGGGCAGCCGCGTGCAATAACGACATTAAACATAGATTGTGCGCCCAGCGGCGCATGCCACTGCGCGCGGCGCGGTGCGGCGCTCGCTCGCGAAGCGACAAACGCCCAGTTCAGCTCAAAGAAGGGCGGTGGGCGCCGGCTCGCCTACCGCCACCCGCCGGTGAGCTTGTGGAAGAGCTCGTGGTCGAGCGTCTGGCTCGAGTCCTTGGAGCGCACCTGCAGGAAGATGTAGCCGCCGATGAACTCGTGCACCACCTTGCAGTCGGAGGAGAGGCACTCGAAGACGACGCTCTCCTCGTCGAACTGCACCATCATGTGCCGCACCTCCCAGTTGACGTTCCACGCCTGCCAAACAGACACGGAGGGACGGGGGTTAGACAAACGGACGCCGTGAAACGGGGGCATAGCACGTGCAATCCTGGAACCTCTAACGGTACGATTACGAATGATTACCTACTAAACAGTATTCAGTTATTTTCCTGTGATTATTTCGACACGGTATGTTTAGAAAACAAATGTACCACGATTAATTTGATCTTTGGCGATACGCAATCGTCCTTGTAGACCGATCCTTTCGAAAGGCACACACTATGAAGTATGCTATGATTTAATCGCGGTCCACGACTGTGCTATAATGTGAAATCGGCAGAATATCTCCGCCGTCCACTGGTCCCGCACCTTCATGGTGTTGTAGCGCCAGGTCTTGAGGTGTCCGCCGTTCAGGTCCATCCGCATCAGCCGGTTGAAGGCGATGCCGAGCAGCTCCTCCCGCTTGGCCTTGAGGAACTTCACCACGAAGTAGGTGATGCCGAACTCTGGCAGCGCCTTCCACGACTTGATGTAGTTCATCTTGGACTCGATCAGGTTGCAGTTAACCACGTTGGCGTGTGCCTCCAGAATCCGCTGGTGCAGCTGTAGAGGGCACGGGGTCATACGTCACAGACCGTACACAGATGTCGGGTCTGTGGGGCTTACACAGACGGATACACAGTCAGATGGTCAGTGGTTAGGCTATGTTGGTGTGGGAGCTACAACACGTCATAATACAGGCTCGGAGAGTGTATTTAATCATCCGTAAACGCATCCGTTTACACATCCTATAAAAACTGCTATTGCCATGGGTCATTGCGTGTGAAAAAGGGCCATTTTTGTGGATGGGACTGGCAGTGGTACTGGATGGCGAGTCAAGAAGGCTCTGAGAGGCTACTGCTCCGAATCGCCGCAAGCTGCTAAATCTCGCTATGCTGCTATCGCTGTCGCTTTTTGTTCTGGATTCGCTGCAAACGTCACAATAGCTTCACTCTCCAAACCACTCGGATCACTGGTAAAATGGGGGCACACTGGAGGCAAACTGGCGGTCGGGGAGGCAGTACTCTGCTGCCAAGGCAACAGTAAGGGCAGGTGGCTAAGCGTCAGGTCCGGCATGTTTCGGGTGGCCGACCTGAATATAACCCAGGTAAACACAAGCAAACACACCCAAACCCACAGCGGCCGATGGATCCAGGGCACGCCCATTATAGAACTCATTCATTGACCATTTTCAATGGAGAAAATTCATATCATTGCACAAGGGCCATTCCAATAGTCTGAATGAATCAGAGACACGCAATGACCTGGATCCACCGGCTATCCCTTTCTGGCCAAACGCCCTATCCCCAGCTCTCAGCCCGTCCCCAGCCACACGTCATCCCGACCCCAGCCACACGCCTGTCGCCTTTACCGACTCCTGTCGCCTGCAGCCCTGACACGAGCCTCCCTGGGGAGACAGAGCGCTGCCGCTGATACAGGGACAGCTCACGGATCATAGCACGGTCAAGTTAAATACGGAGAACGGCCGTCGAGGTTCTGTTCTCGGCGCGCATACATAACTACCAGACCAGATATGAGAGAAAGGAATGGAAGTAGCACCTAAATGAGAATACATGCATAAAATACAACGGATTAGTTATATCAAAGTGACGGTAGTTGGCTGATGCAAAGTGGAGAAAGAAACGCTATCAAGATAAAAAAAAATACTGCTACGAGGCAAATAACCATTCGAACATGAGATAAGAGAAGTGCGGTTGGAACCCAGGAACAATAGAAATTAGCACACTCATGCATCGCCGTATTTGGATTGGAGCCTGTCAGAAGTTTGTACAGCGCATAATCACTCGTACGGCGTACCTCCCTTGCTCATCATTTCACCCCTCTGGCCATTCACCGTTCATCTCTATCGCCCCTCTGCCCTCAGTCCACTCGCTCACCTTGCTCTTCAGTTTTTTGATGAAGCGCGGTGGCACGTAGTCCTCGGGACTGATCTCCAGGCTCTGCGGGTTGATGGCGGGCGCCGGCGCCGGCCGCTGCATCGCCAGGAAGTCGAGGATGCTGCGCACCTCCTGGTCGTACGAGGCGTCCGCCATGGTCTTGCCCTTGGCTCCGAGCCGGCAGGCGGCCATCCAGCGAGCGTACTGCTGCTCCTGTGGGCAGACAGGGGAGGACAGAGGTGAGGGGGTGCTGCTCCCTGAGGGCTGTCAGAGGAGCGCGGAAGTGAAGGGGTGATCCACGGGGTGCTGGGAGTTGGGCTCAATGACCAGGTGGACAATTGGTAGCTGCAGGACGAAGTCCATTCATTCATTTTGACCGAATAATCGCTTGCGCATCAATCAGTACCCCCGACGACAACTCTATCGTTTTTAAAGTTATCAAACCATTTTTTTCTCAGCTCATATAAACATACAAACATGAACAGATATAAAAAAAGATTCATTCCGCGTGGCACCCATAAACCATTAATTCTAGCCAGGCCAGCGTCTCTACAATCAATCATCGTTACAAACACACATATCGTGTATATCTGTCACGGAAACGTTTAAATCAGCGGGCTGGCCATGCTATATCAAATACATCATCAACCCCGTGTCACTCATAGACGGAGCAGAGCCGTCGGTCGCGCGCCGCTGTGAGATTAGGCAGGGCCAGCTGGCAGCGTGCAATCCAAACAGAGCACCTTCCAACGGCAACAAATAGACGGACGGCTCAGCCGCCGGCCGACCGACCGCCGCCCCTCGGGGTTTCCGTGGTTGCAGGTCAGAGAGAGCAGCTTTAACTGTCACCTTGCATACCGCAGGAATGCAGACGGCATCAAACAGTCGGTTTGAAACCGAAAACCCGTACAGAAGTAAAATGAAGAAGAACTGAGTGCAACGTCTCCCTCTTAGTTTTTAAATGGGTAGCACTTGTTGCAGCCAAATAAAGATAAAAAATGATTTTGAAAGGAAAAAAGATTCAAAAGATTCACAAATTCATGGTCCTGATAAGCACTTTTTAACGAATAATTTATAATTAAGATTTAAGAACCTGCGGAACAGTTTGGAGGGCAGTGTTACCGTTATTGACCGTACGTACCGAGTCGCATCTGATGATCATGTCGGACATGCCCTCTGGGGACGGCACCTCCAGCTTGATGCCGAACTTGCTGCTGGCGAGGACCACGTCCGGGGTGACCTCGCAGCCCTTCAGGTTCACCTGCGAGAGGAGGGTGGAAAGGCCGGTCAGGTCAGGTCCCTCGCTGTGCGGCGTCCTACAGGCCGGCGTAGATACAGCATGAGAGACTGTCATTTGGAGACATCTCGTCATTACCGTTTGACACCACATATCTTACAGCACCTCTGTGCCAAACTGAACTTCAATCGTCCGTCGACTGAAGTCGAACTCATACTTCGTCAACTCCTAATTTCTCAGATCAGATGCCAGGCCCTCATTTCTCGAACCCAGACACCACCAGGCACCAGCGGATAGCCGAATGTGCCGCATAATCCGCTTAGACCTGAACCCACACCCAAAACTCTGAGCGAAATCCCCAACAGCCGGACCGCTGATAGTCAGTCAGCAGCCCCATGGCCGCTGACTGCGGGGGGCCGGAGTCTTACCCTGAAGGCCGGCTCCTGCCCAACGTCGTCGCGGGCCTTGTACAGGTACAGCATCAGATCCTTACATACGAACCAGTACCGCTTATAGCCCTTCAGCGTGAACTTCTTGGGCCTGAAACAGCGGGACTATGTCAGGAGAGTGAATAAAAGCGGTCACGGAGTTGGGGCATGCCGTGCGGTGCGAAAGGAAGGAACGGTGTGCCACAGCACAGTACTTGGAGGCACGAACTCCACAGTCAACGTACGTTGTACAGAGTAGTAAACAATGGGCACGTGCCCATCTCTCGAGAAAGAAACATAAGGAAACTGCCTGGCAAAGGCAACATCTATGGCAAAGCTGTTACTAGCCCAACAGCAAATCTGCATAAACATACAATGACGGTAGTTGTTCGTGCTAAAATCACCGCGAGAACACCTTATGAATAAAGCAATGGATCGAGCTATTACTGGTGTTAATTTCCACACCAGTTCTCCGAGACACTGCACCGCGCCAGTATAGGTGCGATATAACGAACGTGCTGGATGGTAAACCCAGAACTCAGAACTAGCGGGACGGTGTAACGCTCGACGTTCGTGATAAAACACAGGATCATGACCCGTGAAATATCAGGTGTATGATGGTCATAAGATCCACCGGATAGAGACAAGTCGTGCCTCGTTACAGCACATTTAAATGGTTCAGTTATCACCCCGACAAGTCCTGTTCCTACCCCGACTGGTATCGAACACCCATAACCTCATTATGCGCAAGGCCGTGTCACCTAATAAAGCGTTGCTCTTGCTCACCTGAAGAAGCGCAGGTAGTCGGAGAGCTCGGGGATCTGGGTGATGTCGCCGTTGCCGTTGACGTGCGACCCCTCCAGCTTCACCTGCAGGTCGTTGAGCGCTGAGTCGATGTCGTCAGCGCCCATGGACGAGTCGTTCAGCTCCGGCTGCGGCTGACTGCTCTGGAGGTTCACCTGGAGCTGGGAACGGGCGGGGGAGCATGGTCAGGGGGCTGGGGACGAGCGGGGGAGCAAACGGTCTGAGGGCTGGGGACGGGCTGCGTCATACACGGTCAGAAACATTATAGATGAAGCTCAGTGAACTGGGCATCACCGTCTCTCTAACTCGCCCAGACCCTTCGACCCTTGAGTTAGGTGAGGGCGATCTTAAATACAGTCTTACACTCCTGGACAGCAGACGGCCACGATCCCACAGGAACACATCACATACTGGCAACACACTATGACGGTCAGGGCGACAGTCCTACCTACCTGCAGACCTACGCTACAAACACACAAAACACACTGGTGTGTGGTGTGTCGGCTGTGACAGCAGCGGTCCTACCTGGAGCCCGGCGAAGAGCAGCATCTCCTCCTCTGTGCAGTCGATCTCCTCGTTCAGGATCTGCCACTTGGCCTGCTCATATAGCATGTTAATGCGCACCGCGTCATACTTGGGGTCCAGGTCGTAGAAGCTGTAAAACTTGAAGCGCAGCAGCAGTGTGTCGAACTCGCGGATACCCTGCTCCATGATGGACAGCGACGAGTCCAGCCATCTGGGATACAAAGGGAGGAATTAAGAAGGCTGGAAGGATAACTCAGAACGCCGACACACGAACACGTATTGGCAAATGGACAATGTGAGATACATATAAAAGCGTAGGAAGCACATTACTTAGAAATACATCTAACATGTCTGTCTGATACCCCGAATGACGAAAATTCAGCACAGCAAAAGTAATATTTAAGCTATTCAATAAACGTTCATGCCAGCACAGCCCTAAGCTGTCCATAGCTACACCCAAGACTCACAAGAGGTCAACGCTGTTATTTTGTACCATCCGGTATGCAGTTTATGGCCAGTAACGTTCCACTCCCAACTCTCAACAACAAACACTTGAGCCCGGACGCTGCCCGCACTCTCCACTCCTTTGGACCTACACAGGCCGGCCAGTCACGAGGACAGCAGACCATGTGATCGACCGAAACTATTGTTACATCAGCCGTATCTCGGGACGCGGGATGGGAGGGGATGGGTAGTGACTAGCACGCCGTGATGCAGCAGAGGCTTTAGGGACTGGTTTCTGTCAGCTACAACACTGCATTGGGCATGCGAGGTGCCGGGGAGGGGAGGAGAGGGTCCAGTGGGTGCGCGAGGTTCACTGCAAACAGGCAATAACACGGGCAGTCGCTAGCATGAGTCACCACTGGGGTAAACCACAAGTGGCCATAAAATAAAACCATCTCCAGGCGAAAGCATCAACATACAGTGGACCAGCACAAACGAAAAGGAGGCAAGTCGTTGACTGCAGTTTCATAACCTTCCAACATTTTTTTTCTCGTCACTGCTCCGTCTCACACTCAACGAGTACTTCCGTACCAAGTGTATCCTTCGGCCTTCACACCTTCTCGCCTGTACCTCACGCCCTCCACAGCTCATCCCCCATACCCTAGGCCCTAGCCCCCCCCCCCGCCGTCACCACTGAAGACAGAATACTCACGCGACGTTCATGCGCGCCCTCTCGAGCAGCGAGTGCGGGTGCACCATGAGGCGGCGCGCCTGCACGGCCGGCACGATGGGGCTGTGTGTCAGGCCCGAGTCGAGGCTGTCCAGGCTGCTCATGGTGACGTTGTGTGCCGGAGAACCCGGTCCGCCCAGCGTGCTGTTCATGGTGCTGTACGGAGAGTGGGAGGCGTTCGAGCGCCATGTGCCGCTCTGGAGACAGAACACAGGGCATGGGTCAGGTCACGGGCGGGTCGTGATTGGGGTACAGGTCACGCTCGATTCACAAGTTAGAGCCAGGTCATTGCGGAACATGTTTAATACACAAAACATCGAGGTCGAACAATATCACTGCAGAAGCGCTTAACATCAACAACAACCTGTTGGGATGAGTATACCCAAGCCCCGGACACGCTTCAAGGACTCGCCCCATTCACAATCCCGAGCAGAAAGCAAGACACCCTAGAGACTAAGCTGGGCACCCTTAGCTGGAAACCGGACGGACACAACGTATCACGCCGCCCAAAACAGTCACATCTCCCGCCAGGTACCTTGGCCCCTGCAGAGGTCAGGCTTGTCGGTCACTGCAGAGGTCAGGCTCCGCCGCGGGGAGCGCCAGCGGCAGGCCCGGTTCAAGGCCAAATCCTGACGGCAGATCGAAGCCCCAGCGCCGGACAAAAGAAGCGGGCGTCGTCCCCCGAGTGTGGAGCACGCGCTGCCGAGCGGGCGGCCCGGCGGCGCGGCCTGCTACGGCCCGAGACGTGCCGGCTCAGCGGCGGGCGCCGGTACGAGAGGCTCCTAATGTGCGACACGGACGGACGAGCACGTTCGGTGCGGTCCTGGCATGCCGAGAGACGCCGTCGGACATACAGACCACCACGGCGACCTCGGAAGGCAGCGCTCTGAGCACGCACCTGATAGCGAAGTACGTTAGTAACGAGATCGGTGAATTAATATCTAAGAACATTCCTCTCCCCTGAGTCATGTTATGTCTACATTCTTGATCTTACGAATAATGCACAGCCAATCACCGAGCTATTAGTAAGCGACATTTATGGCCATTTCCAACAGCAACGAGGAAATCACTACCGCTGGGTTATCATCAGACATCAGGCGCCTTACATCAGATTCTGAAGCGGACGAAGCTGCTACGCCGCGCGGATCAGGCGCACATACACATACGCACGGTTCGGAGTAACCACGCCGTATCGGCTCGGCGATAATTGTACGATAGCGGTGCGTCGAGATGGCTCGTCCGACCACTTCGGTCCGACTGAATGGAGCCAGAGGCGAGATAAGTACCGCCTGCGCCGCGGATGGAGCATTACGGGCCGGGCGGAGCGCCTCAGTGCGACGCAGAACGTCGAGACCGTGTGATCGTTAGACACTCAGTCGGCACATGTCTGGAACGCGCCACCGTATACTAGCGTCATACCATACCGTATACCAGACAACATTTCTCGCATTCCTTTGAAAGCAGAGGCGCGATCCAGCTTATAAGTTGGATATTCATATATGAATACCCCGGACGGCCGCTGAGGCTCACGAAGGGGTAGAAATTCAGAGACGTAGCTCATGAATACCGATTGGAGCTGAGACTGATTGGTGGAGGCCAATTGGTCGGTGTGTGCCCTGGGGATCTGTCGGAACAGTCGGTCTTTGCTCCATCACCGCAGTCGCCGGCAGCGGCGCCTCTGACAACCCGTTACCGCCGAGAACCATGGAGCTCCTAGCGAGCCGGAGAGCGTTCGGTCATTCGCCGCCCTCAGGTGTTGCGCGCCCACACGCATCACGAACCGACGCTCTCAGCCAACAGTCACGTGGACGCCAAACTGGCCCGTCGACCGTCGATCCATGGAGGCTGGTTACCAACGCAGATCAGTTGGCGCTCCACCCGCTGTTGCTAGAGCAGATCGACCTCGACGCTCTAAGCCCCTGTCCACTGGCGCACCGCCTATCGTCCATTCGACGCCCATTGAAGTCGGATGAATAATTCAGCGGACGGGGGCGCCAGGGGTGTGCGGACCGGACCGCGGTCACGGCGACCGGCATCAATCACAGGTGCCGCCGCCGCCGCCGCCCGGTGATGACGGCCGAACGCGCCGGGCCAGCGGGACTGGCAGAGAGCGCCGGTCGGCACGCTAATGCCTCAATAACGACCCCGAGCCGGCTGATCGGTCAGCCCGCCGCCGCGCATGTTAATGTGCCGTAAAAGGTAAGTGGGCCCGCGAGAAAATCACCATGACTGGGGCATACTGGAGCTGTAATTTGAGAACATTTTCATTATTTACTTCACTATCATTACATCAAAGGGAGGGTATGAAAATTAGCCACTCGACCTTCCATCAGATCATAAGTGGGAAAATAAGAATGGACAAAATTAGTTTGACCGCACTTCCTCACTACCGGCTCCCATCATACATTGGGTTTATCAGCAGTTGTTTATCCGCTTTTTTTTTGCCCGGAACGGTGTCCATCCTGATCTTTGCCGCAGACACTTCAGGTGCCCCATTCCATGGCTCGGATCGATATTTCCCATTTGTTTCTGCCCAGGAGCGATGTGTTTAGGCACATACTTCTTACCAAAGTTCAGAGTGCCCAAGATTTTCAGAGCTCACTTTTCAGCCCCAGATCGATGCATATCCCCCCTTTTCTGCCTCAGTGCACTGACCCCCCCCCCCGCCCAAGACCGGTGTATATTACCCCTTTACGTCCCCAGTGCAGCGCGACCCGATTCCCCGCCCGGAGCGTTGCACCCATCCGTCCGTCGGGTCACCCTGCCGTCGTCGCCGCCGTTAGCCGCCGATGGGCCCGGTGACGCCGGCGGCGAATAGATCTGGGGCACACCAATAAACAGGCCGGCACCGCGTCCACAATGGGCTTAGTGAGCCGCGGCCGCCGACCCCGCTCCTCCACCGGTACCGCCATCAGGCGGGGCGGGGCAGGAGGGGTTCCACACCGCGCCGGAAACAGCTCCTGCAGCGACCCTGAGCTTTAGACCCGTTTTTGCGTCACTTCAAACAGACTCCCCGCGACCTTTGCGAGATATAAACATCACACGGGCGCGGCTGTGACGTTACGCATGCAGTGGCCCGTTTTGGCCAGATGTCTGCCGTGACGGAGCCCATCCCAGACGCCCGTCATCCGGCCCTCCTGATCAGAGCTAATTACATAAGCCGAGCTGGCGTGTTCTCCGCACTGCCCCTGGTGTACAGCATTAGCCTAATCAAACACAAGGCTCAGGTTGCAGCTGCGCCATAACTATAAGGGTGGCTGCTCTGTTGACAAAATAAACCACCCATGTAACGCCATCCTCCGGCGTCCTACGGAACCATGGCAGGACCAGGCGTTATGAGAGCTCAGCCGCTCACTAAGACGGCTGAGAAGCTGATCTGGGAACAGCGAGCATGCTCCAGAAACCCTGTAGCTTTACGCGAGACTGCGACTGCCTGGAAGCGGGAAATCCATAAGCTGAGACTCTGGAGGATGGGGGCAATGACCGGGTTCACCTTCAACCCTGCACGGCCCCGAGGCCCGAGGGGCTCCATGCGACAAATGACGGCCCCAAGTCGTCCCCCATGCGACAAACGTAAACAGGTGGTGCAGCGCGGCGCATACTGGATGGAACGGCGACGACGGACGACCAGTCAGCAACTGCTGCAGCGCCGACACGGAGACGAAGACATGGACGACGGACGAACGTAGAGACGGCACACCCGCAACGACTCAAGAGTCGCCCATCACAGCCGGACAAAGCCACCCGTCGGCCGCAGCGGGGCGGAGAGCACGAGCGTGCCGCCCGCATTCAGCGCCGCTGCGGACCACCCCGCACGGGTCGCCAGCGCCGACCACCCGACAGCGAACCCCAAACACGCGCAGCACGTGCGCCGCCCAAAACAAGCACGGCGTCCTCCCGGCGCAGAAGCGGACAGGCACGGCCAGTGGCGGCCGGCGGCTAGGCTACCTACTCCGGTGGGCGCGAACGGCGACCGTGGTGTCGAGGGCAGGCTGTGGTCCCAGGGCGGGCTCGGCACGGCTGTTGGCGAGGGCAGTGGCCGCTGCTGGCAGCGCGCGGTGGCGTCACCGGATGACATCATCACGGCCACCCTACACGGCTAACACACACACACACACACAGGCGCACACAGCTGCACAACACAGTGATGAATTACAGACAAGGAGGACGCTTTCTGCAAGGAGCAGCATGTTTATTTAACGTCCGCGAAATGAGATTAGCGACTCCATCTGCAAATACTAATAACTCAATGAAAAAGTAGGCGCAAAAAGAAAAATCAGGCAACATCATGGTCAGCAAGCGAAAAGAAAGGAAATTTAATGGCAAAACAAATCAAACAACACACAGAACAAACAGCAAACAGTCATCAAACACTGGTCATGCAACACTACCACAGTGTGCAGTGTAATTATCGCAATGGACGCTCCCCGCTCCCCACTGGCCGCGGCGGCGACCGCCGTCCAAGGCCAGGCCTGTTTACAGCTGGCGTCACTCGCCAGCGGACCGAGGCACCGCCCTTGCAGCAGCCCGGGCTGATGCAAATGGAAGCAGCAGCGGCCTGCCGGCCGGTCGGCCGGGGTTTTCCCGGAACCACCGACCTGGCAGAGCGTCCCCGTGCCAGAGGCGGCCTCAGAGGCCCGAGCCCACCCTGAGAGCAGAGGCGGCCGACGCCAGAGCGGCGAAACCAGTGCCACCCGGCAGCTTCGACCGCAGGCAAAGTGAATGATGGATCACCGACGTTTTAGGGCGTGCCCCGAGCTGACGTCACGCTTCATGATTACAGCGGCGTTCGCTCGCCAAACTCAGCAGCGATCGAGACAAAGACGGCTGCCAGCGAGGTCGGCACTCACGTCATCGCCGCGGCACGCCGCAAATGCGGGGGAAGCAGAAACTTTCACACAGACAGGTAAACATGTTGCGCAATGACATGCATTCAGCCAAGTGTCTTTCCTGAAGTGAAATGCGCATCAACCTTACTAAACAGCCGAGTAGATGAGCATTGAACAGTGCCATTTGCAACAGGAGAAACCGAGTTCCATGACTTATGACGACATATCCCCACCGATCACGGCTTGGGTGCTGGAACCAGCGGGGTTGCATCGCGTATCACGCCGCATCAGCCGCGCTGAGAACTGGGTGAAATCGCGCCGCAAAGTGGGGTGCATCCGAGCCGCCGACCCCTAACCAAAGGCCGCGGTGGTGCCGCCCCCGAGCGCAGCTCACACGCCGAACCGCAGCCGACCGGGTCGTGCCCCGCTGTCTGGGTTACATTCCACACTCGGCAGCCCGGCCCCATGCAACCGGAGCGGCCGGTGCGGCCCCAACTGCGCCGTCCCGGAGCGTTCCGGGCCCGGGCGGCACCGCGCCATACGGCAACGCGACGGGCCGGGACTCACTGGCGCTACCAGGCTGGCCACTGCGACCAGCGGCGTCAGCATGCTGCGTAGGGCCGCTGAGCTGCTTTGTGCAGTGCTATATGATCCGCGCACTAAGCAGCGCTGAGCTATTCACTGCGCACACCATGCTCTCAATTCAGCAGCATCAAATTCAACGAGTGACCTCCTACCCCTCCCCCCTACTTCCGCCATCGGTTTGACATGAATGCCACGGGCCCACGGCCCACGACCTGGCCTGCAACGACGCAGGCCTGTTCTCGGAGCCTCACAAAGGCAGGTGGAGACAATCGACACCCCTGCACGACACAACACTACACGACACAGCACCTACATCGGCCCGACACGACCCAGAGTGCCCACATGCTGAGCTCTGCAGAGGGGTCGGTCGGGGGCGCGAGGCGACCGGCTATTCTGCTGACGGAGTCGGGCGACAGGACAGGTCTGGTGACCACAACTCGTGGGTTTGAACAGCGAGGAAGGCTGGGTTATACCGGTGTTTGTGGCGGAGGATGGTGCCGGGCGGGGGAGGGCGGAGAGCAGAGGGAGTAGGGGGCGGAGGGCGGATCGGGATGCCACCTGCCGTCTGTCCATCACAGCGATAAGTGGACGGCCACAGGCCGATACCCTGCGGTCTAATTCGGACGGCTACCGGCCCGGGCTTGGCCAGACGTCAAGCATATGTTCGTCACTGCTGCTAAGCGACACAGGTGCCCAGGGGGTCAGTCGCGGTCGGAGAAAAGGGACAGCTGCATCCTGACGCAATCCCCATACTGATCAACAGATGACGTCACGACACTGACCTGTGTCCTCGACTCAGTGTCGAGCGCTGATGAAATCAGATACAGCGACTCGACAACCCCGCCCTAGAGCACTGACGACTTGTCCCACTTACACAAAACAGAGCGGGGCACGTCAAGTGCACTTACGCTGACAGCCTTCAAAGGCTATCCGATATAAGGCAAGTCTCAAGGAGTTGATGTATGAGGCACGGGTGTCCACGCTAAGCCCTGACCGGTAGCGGCCTCTGACGCCGGTCTGTGACGCCCGTCACGCTGGCCAGTGACGTTCGTGACGTCAGAGCGTCACGTCACGGACCGCCACCCGATCGTGACGCCGACCAACCACAGTCGTGACCAGACATCGGGGTGGTGCCACACGATCCCGGTGCACCGGTGGGACAGAAACCCCTCTGCAACGCGGCGTCGGGCCATTGCAAAGTGTCGAGAGTGGCACCATTCGGCGCTGAGGTACCGCCGTCCACCGGCCTCCCTCTGTTTGAGTTAGTGGCTGGGCCTCCGTCGGACTTCCCCTCCCTGCTATCCCCTTAGTGGGCCCCTGCTCTGCACTGATGTGGGGCCTCTCCGTGCTGTCCCTCAGTGAGCCCCTGCTCTGCACTGCATTGGTGTGGGGCCCGGGGCCCCTCCTCTCTACTGGTGTGTGGGGGCTCCGCCCCTGCACTGGCGTGGGGCACTATAATCCCCTGAGGCGATACCCGGTATCGGACGCCAGGCCAGGTGGCGGTGTTGACACCAGCGCTGCGATAGCCCCCGCACTGGGCGGGACCGACCGTCTGTCCGTCGCCAGCCACAGGAAATAACACTCCACTGCACAGCCTCCCGACAGCGGCCCATCGGGCGTGTTTTGTCCGCGCTGCCGGCCGTATGTTGTGCCATGTCGCGCTCAGGTCATGTCGCCGCCCGACAGGCGCCGCAGTCGGCCCGGCGTCTGGCGCCTCGCCGAGCGACACTGATGACCTGGTGACAAATTTAAGGGCGCGCCAGAGCTGTCCGGGCCAGAACAAACGCCGCGTCTGCCAGCGTCGGCAAGGCCGGTCGGCCTATGTAGTGGCCGAGGTCTGGAGTCGGGGTAAGAACGAGACAGGGTACAAACTACAAGCGTTCGTAGAGAGGCGACAGCGGGCAGAGACAGTCACGGGCGTCACGGCCCATTGCATTGTTGGTTGTGGACCAGCAGAATTGGTCACGGAGGACGCCAGATTAACAAATTAAGTCGAAGGAATGTGCTAATGGACAATGGAGAAGGATTGTGTTTATGTTGTCATACGAAGTACAAGCTCACGGATGTGGAAATGGACACAACTTCACGTCAGGCGGATACTGACGATGCATTTGTGCTTGTGCTTATTAAACTTCTGGTGGCATTACCAAGAGAAAATGTCACGACTGCCGGGCTTGGCTTTCTATAAAAAGATGTGAATTTAGCATGGGAGGGTGTAAAATAGCAAACATAGTTCTTGTTCTATCATTAACGGGAAGGTATGTTATTTAATGAAACGGTCGGGTGCCAGGATGGCATTCGTGACTTGTATCTATGACTTTGCAGTCGCTTTAGCATAGCACCATGAGTTACGGCCATGGAATCCGCCTCGGACCGTTTGGACCCGCAAACCTCAATAAACACTGAAGGCGGCGACTGTTTATCAAGCCATGTCTCTTCCAGCGGCGGGCTGGGGTGCAAATCCGATTCATCGCTGAATCACTCCGGTGCGTTTCCGAACTGGAGCCAGGTACTCCAGCCAGCGGGCATGATTCACCGCATCAAGGCCGCTTCCAGTGATTTTTCTTGCCGCTGCGTTCTGACACGTTTCAGAGTGATCCTCATTCTAGTCACGTGCGTTAAAGCAGTGTCCGCAGCCTTCCGCACGCATACAGATGCCATCGGAACAGGCCGCTGTCATACGCGCTGGCGATCATTGAGGCCAGAGATCGCTGAAGGCAGAAGCCTGCAAGCAGCGACCTGGTGGCGCCTGTCTGGTATCTGAGAGCGCCTGCAAGTGTGCATCGCTGTCAGATCGCTCGCCAAATCGGGCTTTGGTGGTCAGATCTCGGCTGCGACCACTGTACGCTGACAGCTCAATGGTGTGATTCAGAAGCACTTTTATCCCACACACAGCAAAGCCTGACGTCAACTGAAGCGGAGGGAACCTCCCAAAACTCATCTGACGTCGTGACCCATCAAACCCACGGGTTAGAGTCTACAACAGAAGCAAGAAACAGCAGCAGCAAAAGGCTGCAGCATTTTCCCACTCGCTAGCTCGACAATGAAAGCGGTGTTCAGCCTTTCAGCACACCAGCGGTGGAGCGGGGAGCGGCGTCATCGGCGAAATGTGTCAACTGTTCCCCTCCCTCACACACCCCCACTGACCGTGTTCAGGTGCCCTCCGGACGAGTGCAGCCGCCGCGGAGTGCCCGGACCGTCCAGGCTGTTGTTGCTGCTGTGTGCCGAGCCGTTCTTGGAGATGAACGTGTTGGTGTCGGCCGGCAGACTGTCCCCGCGCTGAGACTTGACCGCCGCGTGCGACTGGTAGTTGTATTTGAGGTGCTGCGCCTCCAGCGGCTTGGCGAACGACAGCTCCTCAGGGTGGCGGATTCCTGCGGGCACGAGCGGACATAATTAACTTAGGAACTGCTGTCTAGGACTATTCATTAAATTCCAAACAAATGACTCTTGCAATGGGACAGATTTGTCAAACAGCTGTCATTTCAGCCGTCAAACATAGCATGGAAGACGAAGATGTCATTTTCTACAGCCATTGACAGGGCACAGCGTACTTCGAAACCACCATACAGCGTCAGCGGCGTGTCAAATAGTCTCCCAGACAGCTGCTAAACACACATCCGGCACTCACATGACCCGAGAGACCACAGTCACGAACAGCCCACAAAGAGCTCCCAGAAGGTAGCAGACGGGTCTGAGTCAGCCGCAGTTGTTTACATAATCGGCCCGCGATCTAGTCAGGCGTGACTGCCAATGCGGAATTTCCTCTGGTCAAAGACACCTGAAGTTTAAAAACGCTGTGAAATTCATTCAACGAAGCGCTGCTTGTTTTTGCTTCCAGGTCAACAGCCGCATCAAAAGAGTGGCGGCGCTTTCACGCCTGACTGGGAATCACAGCGTCAATTTGGGGCACGAAACGCGTGTGCGGGCGAGGTATGACGCTAATTTCGTCCGTTAAGATGCTAATATACGGCTTGTCGGTCGAGGTAAAACAGGAAATGGGATTCATAAACAGCTGACTCGTTTCAGGTCTGCTGGGACTGCACGCGGTTGCACAATCTGTGACCTATGGCTAACCCGGCTGCCAGCGCGCCGCAGCGGCTGACGGGAAGGGGCAGGTGAGACATCTGTTCCGGATTCACCGCGGACGTCAGCCACCAATCAGCCGCAAAACAGCACGGCCGTAAGGCAACAGACGCAAACGCGGGCTTGAAACGAACCACCGTGATATCACTGATGTTAGTTGTCGGACTTTCGTCCCCGTCTTGAGTTGAGATGTTAGTTTCACAACGTTTCGGCCAGTTACTTCTCCGGCCGTCGTCAGGTGTTCTTTGGCCCTTAGAAGGACCTGGATGTTGGTGGCGTTGCGCCGTACGCGTCATACCGTTCGAAAGCTCCTGTAGTCAGCGGGAATCGAACTCGGGTTTCCCCGGTGATAGTCCACGGTTCTAACCACTCCACTATCGAGGCAGACATCGTTATGGAGCTGGAAACTTGGTGTCATTTATCCCCCAGATGTTTTTGTGATTTCCTTAGTAGTGGGAGCCATATTGGGCTGATGTCAACGCTTGGCTTGCTGATGGGGTTGCTAGCCAGCGCCATGTGTGCGGCTTCCTTGATTTTTCTGATTTTCCAGTGTGGCTCCTTGTCGATGATGGTGGTATCATCCCAAGCAGGTCTGTGATTTCCTGTGACCCTCCTTGTGATTTTCCTGTGATCTCCTTCAGACCATGCATGCTCCGCCACACCGGATTTCAGTGTTTCGCCTCGGATGGTGGCCTTCCTGTGTTCTTCGAGCCTGACCGCCAGTGGGCGGCCAGTCTCGCCCTTGTATGACCTGCCGCAGCTGCACGGGATGTCGTATATACTGGCCGCCCACTGGCGGTCAGGCTCGAAGAACACAGGAAGGCCACCATCCGAGGCGAAACACTGAAATCCGGTGTGGCGGAGCATGCATGGTCTGAAGGAGATCACAGACCTGCTTGGGATGATACAACCATCATCGACAAGGAGCCACACTGGAAAATCAGAAAAATCAAGGAAGCCGCACACATGGCGCTGGCTAGCAACCCCATCAGCAAGCCAAGCGTTGACATCAGCCCAATATGGCTCCCACTACTAAGGAAATCACAAAAACATCTGGGGGATAAATGACACCAAGTTTCCAGCTCCATAACGATGTCTGCCTCGATAGTGGAGTGGTTAGAACCGTGGACTATCACCGGGGAAACCCGAGTTCGATTCCCGCTGACTACAGGAGCTTTCGAACGGTATGACGCGTACGGCGCAACGCCACCAACATCCAGGTCCTTCTAAGGGCCAAAGAACACCTGACGACGGCCGGAGAAGTAACTGGCCGAAACGTTGTGAAACTAACATCTCAACTCAAGACGGGGACGAAAGTCCGACAACTAACATCAGTGATACTAACACCTCGTCTCAAGCATTCAGAAGAACTGAACCACCGTGATAGTTAGGTTTTGCTAAGGGCTGATGGCCAATGTCAACAGCAACATCTAGCATCTATTGATATTGGCTGAAATCCCATGAACTGACATCAGGACTAGACCATCCCTGGAAAAACTTCCTATGACGCTTGCCAGAAACAAAGCTTATCGCCACTGCTGAGAATCCATCCCATAAAGGTTAACCCTCTCCACTCACCGAGCTCTTTGCAGACATCGATGACGGCGTTGAAGCACTTGGCGCTAAAGTCAACGCGGCAGTCAAGGTGGCGCAGGTCGGGCAACTGCACGCGCAGCGTTTTGTGCATGGGGGTGAATGTAAGCGTGGCCTCGGCATCCACGCTGTATTGGTCCAGCGTGGACTTTGTGCGCAGCAGCCACTGGTTCCGGTCGGGCCAGAACAGCGCGTGGTCCGACCAGTCATGGCCCTCTGCAAACAGACAGGGGAGACAATCCGTCAGACACTGCAGTCAAAAACACAGCGCTGGGTACAGCAGACTCACAAAACACGCCGGTCGACAGACGAGCGCGACTTTTTGGACTCAGACGGCTGACGAATGATGTCGAAAGTTGGCCAAAGTTGGTGGCACCCAATCAGCGATATCATCGGTCGCGCTGCGTAAGGAGATACCGTTTTTGGAATGCCGGTTGCGTAAAAAGAGATCGTTTATGTCGTGCCGTAACAGAAGCCGAATGAGCCAGTCAAAAAGCACGCCGCGGAAGCCGGCTATCCGTATCCGAGTCAGCCCAATTTCACCCCTGCCCTCCACCCGCAGCTAACATGATCTGGAAGCCGCGGAGCGCTGCCATACATGGTCATTGCCGTCTGCGGCCTACCAAACCCGTAAAACGTATGGGCGACGCTGCATTATGTATATGGCAGCGGCGCCTGGCTGGGCGAAGGACGTCTGTAAGAGATAACTCAGCAATCGACGAAAGAGGCGCAGACTCACTCGGCACCCGGCGCCTGCTCGTAACGCAAACAGCCGCAGTGTGGTAATGAATGGCGCCCATCAGCGGTACTCATAACTCTGCGGCGGTGGATCGGAATCAATCTGAGTCTATCCACAGTCTGGCGTCCGACGCATACGGCGCGCGCATTACCGCCAGTCCGACAGAGCGAGTCACAACACACAAATAAATCAGACACGATCTGAGGAGAGAGCAGTGGGGGACGGAGAGAGGGGCGACTGCTCTGCGGCGGGAGGAGGCGCCCCGAGGACAGCCGACAGCGGGCCGGACGGCGTCCAAAGATAGACCGTCGGCCGGGCCGGGCTCGCTGGCTCCGGGCGCCGCCAACGTGCCGGGACCCACGGAGGGGCGTCGACACCCCACTGCCGACAGCAGCCACTCGCCGACCGACAGGACCTTGTCATTGACCTCTGCCGGTCAACTGGCTGCCGGTCAGGCCAGACGGGACGCCCCAGTGTCTGACAAACTGTCTGGGTCGACACACTCGGAGCCGCGCCAACTGAGGACAGCCCTCCGCTCATGGGGCGGCCCGCCAACCCGACAGAACGCCCGGCCATAAACCGGCAGGGCTCAGGAGAGCCTGTCCATCGGGCGTCGCCTGGCCTCTACCAATTGCGCACTTCTCTCTCCAAAGTCTCCATAGTGATTTCGAAATCTCGCTGCAACGGAATGGCCACCATTTGGCAAACAGTGTGGTGCCCAATGTCAACAGGAATTCAATAAAGTCCCTGTGGGATATACAGCAGAGTTTGCAGATAAGGCTGGCTCGGATGACATTTTGAAACGGGCGACCAAGCCAAACAACATGAGCAGAGAACACAAATATGCCTGCTGATGGCCTCTTTGCCAGGATCAGTTATCGGCTTCTATAGTTAGCTCTACAAACTGGGATCTCGAAGAACCCCATCTAACTCTATATCTAAAACAGCATACACCTGGCTGCTCGCGGGTCCACTGAACACGGAACAGCCCCGCACCATCCACCACCGCGCACCTCTAATTGGACAGCCAGCTGCCGCGGCCGGCCGGCGCGGCGGCGCGTTCGCTGCCGGGCGCCAGAGCAGCACGCCTGAGTGCTGCTGCCAGACGCGCTAACTGGGAGCCGACCTGCTCAGAAGCGACCCCCGCTGCTGCAGAACTACTGAAACCAGCAGGGAGGCGGTTGGACGAGACGGACTGGAGCAGAGCCGCCATCCTGCTCGCTGCTCTGGGCAGCTTCCCCAAATACATCTGACATCTCTGCGGCTGCCAAGTCCAGGTCCAGCTCGGCCAGAAGCTGTCGGCCGGAGCCGGGTCAGACCGGCTCAGTGTGCGGCCGGTGGCCCGCGGAGCCCACCCGCCCCCACTCTCTGACGGACAGGTGTGGGCGCGCCAGACGCGAGCCGTCAGACACAGCACCCACCCACCCGAGCCCGAGTACACTCAGCCGGCGGATCAAAGGACGCGCTCGACTGTTTGATCGTGAAGGATGCCACGCTTCACATTCCGAGACGGTTTGCGATGTCATGCATGCACTCAGCAAGACAACCGCAGTGTCGCTGACGTCGTGGAAATACAAAGCCGCACAGCACATTCGCCAAATTCGCCAGCTTCATTTGATCTTTATCATGTCCTATGATTAAGTTGACCCTGGAAGCCTTTGTTGTTGGATCCGATGTGCGCAGTACGTATTTGGATGTCAGTACAGTTAATGTTTCAAGGCTTTACGACCGCATCCATAGCCGCTCAATAAACAGCCGGAGGTCACGTAACCACGTCGAGACCGCGCTGCTCACTGTGGTGGCGGCTCGTTTATGGCTGCATTGTTCGGTCAGGTTTAATCATCGACTACGGAGGCTAATTGATTCGACGGCCCACTCGGCCGGGGGCAATCGGACGAGACAGATCCGGATGGTGTCGTTATCGGTGGGTTTGTTAACTGTATTAGAGGACTCAGTTAAGGTCGCTGGATGATGGTTGTCACAAGATTATTTCTCGATGCGGTTTTCAAATTTCAATACCATAAGGAGCGACGGACGGACAGCCAGACACTCACTGGGCGCTCCCTGGCAGGTTTAAGATTCCATTCCTGGATAATTCGTTGGGTTTAGAAATCAATAGATGATGCCATGCGCTGTTGTTGATCACAGAAGATAGCGAAAATGAGATTAACAAAACAGCTGCAACCAGCAACTTTATACTTGCAGAACCGTTCGTACTTGAAACTGCTCGTTATTCGATACGTTTCTGTTTTGTCAGCGTTTCGTTTTTCAAAAGCTGTGGGTGTTCATGGAACTTATGTAAGCATCAAATCGCTGGACGATGAACTCCCATCCCACCGCCTACCTCCCAGCGTTTGACCTAGCTATGGCGGTCGGCGGTCGGCGGCGGGGCGGCTACGCCAAGGCCCGACACTATCTCCCCTGGGATATCTCATCTGGGAATATAAACCTCCGGCCAGCGCGGTCTGGGAGAACTTCATCGGCCCCTCTGCAGCTGTCTGCCTGGTGGGCCCAGCGTGGCGAGAGTCGCCGGCCGCCCGGGATCGGTGAGAGCTGCGCGCAGGGGTGGACCCGGCCCGAGCGGTCGTACCGGGGCAGGGCGGCGCCGCCACAGCCGAGCAGATACCATCCGTACGGCCGCCGCGGCCGCCTCCTCGCTCATCCGTCAGGCCGGCACAGCGCGGCGCTCTTCTGATTAATCCAGCGACCCGGCCATAGCCGACCCCAGTGCCGCCGATCATCACAGGTTACATAGGCCGTTCAGGTCACACAGGCCGTCGGGCCAGACTGGCCCCACGGGTCACAGAGGCCGGTCAGGTCACACAAGCCGGTCTGGGTTCTGCACGAGCACACCGGCCAACAAATGGTATCATAATGCTCATTAGCCTAATTAGATCCTGTTGTGTTTTCGGCCACATGCACACCGAGCCGGTGCCGACAAAGCAGTGGCCAGGCAGCGAAAAACCGGCCACGGGACTGGTCAGGTCAGCCTTCCAGGAAACGGATGGAAGTCGCGACCGTTTTGGGTACCCGATACCAGATCACAGATGCCGCGTCGATGGCTGCGTCGTCTGTCACTGATTGCAATCATAAAGCCACGAACAGACTGGCTGCCAAAGCTTTGCAAAAGGTGGTACAGCTCGATATATGTCTGGCCCGGCTCGATAAAGGGCTGGCACAGCTCGTTACAGGACAGGCACAACTCGTTAGAAGGCTGGCACAGCTAGATATAAGACTGGGACACCTCATTCACACCATTAAAGTGATACTGAGCTGCCAGAGATCTAGATGGAACCAGTAACCACCACATCAAATCCTGCATCAGCTGCCGCAGCTCTGCACCAGCTATCACAACTGGATACAGGACTGGCATAGCTAGGCAATGGGCTGGCTCTGCGCCAGCTTCCACTGCTCGATACAGCTCCGCCGCAGCCCGGCCACAGCTCGGCGACCCGAGGTCACGGTGCCGTGTTTATTTGGCCATCAGACGAGCCGCAGACACCTGGCCTATCGGTTACGAGCGGCTCGAATGGCGCCCTCAGCAGGGCCAATGCTGATGGGCTCTGTGGATAACCACAAGGTCTGCCCTCGCCATAGATTGGTGTCACGGGCGGGGAAGACACTGAACTAGCTCAAGATGGAAGTACTGGAAAGCCGGCCTAAAATATCACCTCACGAACTACCGTAGCAAAGGAGCACATCACATTACGCTATACTACAAAAGAAAAAATAAATAAATGAGCTAGGGAAGTGGAAAAATGAGCTCTAGATTTTACCAAAGTCTAATGCAAATGCGATATCTCCTGTTATCTCCTGTTTATAAGCACATGGTGAGAAAATGTTCGCCTTTTGTGCTAGACCAGCTGCGTCTGATGGTAATGTGATCCCCGAGCTGCCTCCAGCCTTCGTGATCGCCGACCATCGGGCCATTTACGGGCCGCCCACCCTCCCACCTTCAGCGCCGATTGTATATCGCGCGTGTAAGCGATCTCGCCATTACAGAGACCTGGCTCGCCCCCACACACACGCACACGCACGGTGAAAGGCCGGGCGGCTGGAGCCGTTAGCCGTCAAACATCGATCGCCAGCTGCTCCCACTAGCTATTCGTGAGTTTGTCGATGTCGTCGCTGATCCCGTGTTCATAATAGGAGTCGACTGGGCTTGTTGAGCTCGTGGTCAGCGACGTGTTACAGACCGCCTCACGTGCCGGCCGGTGTGGGGCGTGACACGGCGGTCAGCCGGCGGGACCCGCAGGTCACAGGGGTTACGGGGTCACCAGGGCCGGCGCTCTCCCACGGAGAAAGGCCGCCAGCCGGCCCTCAAAGGAACACTGTCACCTTCACCGGGAACAGGCGGGGTTCGGGGCCACACGATTCTGATAGCCAAGCCGCGATAGCGGGGCATACAAACTACCCTGGAGTGTGCTCCTGGCAAAGACTGAGCAACAGCCGTGTCAACACTTCCTCTCCTTTCACT